TCGCTGAAATTTAGTACAGGGATGTTTGAATTTGTTGCTTTTAAAATATCAAGTTTAGAATTGATCGCTTGTTGTGAATAAATTGAAACAATGGCAGAAAACCCTCTCAATGTGCAAAATAACTAGAGAACAAGAGTGCTGTCCTTAAAATTTTAAAAAGAAATTGACTTCTAAGGAGTGTACTGCATTTTAATATATTCTCCGTATTATCTCCACATACACACACGTACATATCTTAGTTTGTCTATTATTTTTATTCATCCTTATGTCTCTATATCTCCAGGCCATTTTTAATTTTTAATATTTTTTTAATTCTTCTAAAAGCTTTCTCGCGACCACGTTATTCTTGATTATAAAAGGAGCTCGATGATGCGAGCGTGGTTAGCCATCAGTCGTCAACTACAATGCAAAATTCACCTCCGTGAACAATGGATTAATGATTGGCCGGCGTTATTGATGTCGCGCTTGATCGACGTGAATTAGCTTCTTCCTAGCGAACTTGTCATTAAATATTTGCGTAATTGGCGAACAACGTTGCGTTAGAGAGCGAGTTAATACAAAATCTCTAAATCTCAAGAGACTACGGGCTAGCCGGCTTACTAGTTCGATATCGCGATATTAGTAGAATCTCTGAATAATTCATTTGGCGTTACAGTGCCATTAGTATCGTACTATAGAATTTGACGTAGACAGTTAATTTGACGCATAACGACTGAGATATTTAGCCGCACTGAGCGTACAATTATATCGTTCTAGCTTTCATTTCTCTCTATCGCGTAAATGCACGTAAATGTTATCAATAGGCAAAATTTAAGCTAAACTCTGGTAAAAATCGAAATGTTCTAACGTTGTCTAGTATTAAACGTAATAGCGTATGAGAATAGTTATTTTTTAAATATTCTGATTTGATAGGTGTGTCGATAAACTACTACACACACGCGCACATATTCTATGCTTGCTTTTATCAAAACTAATTTAGGCAGAATATAACAATGGGCATTCAAATTGGTGCTGTCGATCAAACCATTTTGCAGACAATTATATAAATAAAAAATAAAATACGCGCGTATATGCGACGAATAGTGTTTTTTAAACTAGCATTTATATAAATACAATATTTCTTTAGAAAGGATTAGAATAAAATAATTAGTCTAAATAATTTCAATATTTTCATTTGCTTGAAAAATATCGAGAAACGTACAAAATTGACTTTTATTCGCATCTTTTAACTTGTTTAAAATAAAAACTAAATTTAATATAATAATTAGACAATTATAACTGATAAAATAAATATTAAATTCAAATTTTTGTCCCTTTATAAAATATTATTATACAATATAGAATATTAATGAATTTTCGAAGAGCGAGAGAAAGAAATGACAGCGCAGATAAATTGTTAGAAAAGTTTGGATATTTTGAATACGATGACGAAAGTTTATGTTAATTAAATTAATGACTTTTAATTTGCCTGGCTTTATATACTTTATTACATATTTAAGACTTTGAATGTTTCCATGCCGATCATTTAAGTGCCACTTGTTTGTCCGTATTTAGCAGCATTTATCAATATGAACAATATCAATTTAAATCTAAACAAAATCTGATGAAAGAAATGCTAAGTACCATTAGCAAGGTATTTTAAAATTCGAATACGCCGAGATGATACAATTCTGTCAATTCGATACCGTTGACTTATTCACAATTCAATGTGTGATAATGTCATCTTTTCATAAGACCTTTCGACGGTCCCCCTCGTCGTTACAGTTACTTGCTTACGTTTGTAATTCTATAAAATAATTCCCCAAAAGAGCAGTCGGGGCTCTTGTTGCAATGTTCTCCAACACGTTCTGCTCACATCCGCTATCAGACACGGCCGATCGATCTGATTGAATCGCGACTCGGACGTGTCCTTGGTGCGTTTGCGGGAACACGCACGGTGGAGGCAAATGAAATTCCCAGCCTGTCGAAAACAAGTTTTATTTCGTGGCACTTCGGTCCGATTGGAGGCCGCGAAGGGGCGTTGCGGATTGTTGCGCCGGGCGAAGGGTTGCGGTTGGGTTGTACGAAGGGATGAAGTCGAGAGAAGAAGAGGGTTGGTAGAGGCCCCCCGCCGCTCGACGATGGGCGACGAGAGTTTCCATTCTTCGATGAAACTTCTTGGCAACTCGTTTGAACGCCACGACCAGCCTCTCCACTTTCTTCCGGATCTTATTTTGCTCGCCGCCGCCACTGCCGCTCGCGAAACTTTTCCCCGATTCCTCGGAGGTGTAACATAATATTTTCGCGGCTCGACTGGGGACCGCAAGAACCGCGCGTTGGAATAACGTGGTTATCGAGTTCCGGGATTTTAACGTTATCAAATTCGTTATCGTACTCGGAGCGATTACAAGGTTAGCATCGTGACGTTTTGCCTCGTAAGCTTTCTTGAGAAATCAATTAATGTATCACTTGCCACGAAGAGATCTGTTAGTTAATAGATAGTCCACGTTTGCTTTGCCACGGCATTTTTTATTTTCCTGCGATTAAAAGAAAGTTGCAGAAGCGTTATATCGTTTCCATGTTATAAAGAAATACTCATTATAAAATGCTGTCATGGTTAAAACTGTCCTTAACTTAATCAGTCGTTTACGCGAACATGTGCCTCAAACGGAACAATTATCACTTTATATCTAAATTTCTGTTGTCTTCTGAAAAAAAAGGAAGTTAAAACGTCGTAGCCGATGCAATAAGGAGTGAAGGCGATGCTTGCCAAGCGGATTCATTATCATTTAACAAAATTGTTACGCGATTGGGCTCGCTCGGCCGGAGAAGTCCGCGTCGGAATGGCGAAAGTGTGAAAACACGTTGTCGGCGGACTAATTAAATTTCTGCATTATTACGAGGACGGCCGTTTCTGCCACTCGGCGAGTTTTAATCTGGCAGAGTAATATCTTAGGCTACATTAGGTCTTACCCTCCGCACCGACTGGCACTCGGTTCAACGGGAAGATAGGGGGATGGCAGAGGTGGTGGTGTGGCAGAGGCCCGGCATAAGCCGTCTGCCTGCCGGCTAATCAATGATTCAACTCGCCAATTACGGAGGCGCCTCGAAAAATATCCTCTCTCTCTACCCGTTCCCCCACGCCCTCCTAGCACGCCTGAAATATTCACAGATCCTATCTCCCTTCAATTCTATCCTTCCACCTTCACCGTTTTGCTCGTTTTTCTACGTATTTTTGAGCTTTCCGTTTCAACCCTTTTTTAAACACCTGTTTGTGCCCGTGTCTGCGCCGTAACAATGTCGATGTTACTTATCCAGGATGTGCTGCATAGGAGTTGAAATAATTTTAGAGCTGTTAGTTGACTAAAGTCGATAATGTGCAAATTGTCGTAGCAAATCATTTATACAATGTGTATGACAAATGATGCATTTACCTAAAAATATATGTCCAAGTAAAACTTAATCACAGAAGGTTGTATTGAAGCTTAAATTTGACAACAGAATCTTGTTACTTGAAATTATCCGTGAAGCATTTATCGGAAAGAAAATAAATTCTTATCATCTTGAAAATTTCTTATATTCCTATTACTCTTCGTTTGTTATCGCGAGATTTTATTATGTTTAGGAATGTTAAAGTGTTTCGATTACGAGAGTTTATCCGGCACGAAACGAAGCAGGGGGGGGAAAGCTCGTTTAGAAAAGTTCCGCCGATCTGCAAACGGCCGCGTGCCGCCTGCGTCGTTCGCGCTGAAGACTATTCACTGCCATTCCTTCTCGAATTATTCTTTCGCAATTTAATCAACCGGTTATAAAAGAACTTGGCTTGACCTTACAACTTTATTTTTGCATCTCCACGATTCTCACCGGTTCTCCGTTTTTCCTCCTCGGGCGCTCTAAATTAAATTTCCTTTACCTTCGATGCCCCAAGTTTCGTGAGCGAGAGGAAGACGGTTAGAGGACAGCCAAGATCGCAGCCAAGAGGAGAGAGCAGGAGGGGACGGGGGTAATAGTAAAGAGGGCGGAAAACGGAAGGTAGTAGAAGGAAGAATGATGTAGAAGGTCGACGGTGGGGAGGGAGGGGGTTAGGGGGAGGAAAGCAAAAATAGAATGTACATAAAAAATACATGACTGCAAGCTACCGCTGCTTCTTGCCGTAGCCTCGGCTCGCCGGCATGAAAAATTCACTAGTTGCCCCGGCTCTTATTGCAATCTTCGTTCGTGGAATTCTCGCGAAATTTAGCCACCTGCAACGGGACAGAGGGCGGACGACCCTCTTCGATGGTATACAAGCCCTTTCTTTCTTCCGCCGTGTTTCATCTCGAGAAGACGTCCCTCTCCGAGCGCCGCGAGTAGTATCAGAGACACAGAGGCTGGTATGGCCTTTTCCGCCCACCCTCCCCCTCTGCCTGGAATGATTTTATTAAATTTGCTCTTATCATTCCGCTCGGCGGTAGCGTATTGGCCGAGACGACAGCGCTGTTGCTTGGGAACAGAGCGGGATGCGCAGCATTGTTCCTTTTATCATAGAGATGTACGACAACGATATCGAGTCAAACACTATATACTAGATTGAATCAAGCTAGGTATAAGAACCTTTATGTTGCGTTCCACTGAAAGCATTTTTATACTTGAATTAGTAATTAATCTACAACTCTGTAAAGAGCCCTGTGAATCGCGAAGAAAAGAAAAGGAGCGGAGGAAAGGGGAGGAGAAAGTTTTTGCTGGAATTTTGTATATACATAAGCCGATACAGTTTTTATTTTAATATATACAAATAATTAAATAAATATACGTACGTAATATATAGTATATTTGTTTAACAATTATTATGGGACTAGAGAAGTAAAAAATATTTTGTTACCAAAGTTGAAATCTGAACTTCAAAGCTCACAAGTGGTTTAATAAAATTATTTAAATTTGACACGGAATCAATAGTTGGATAAAATTTATCAATCGTTGTCGTCAAAAAGAAAGCAGTCTTTCTTATCTTCGTAACAGTTGTTTCTTTTTTTCTGTTACAGTGTCCGACCGTTGCTGTTCGTTTGTTCGTTCGTCTTATCAACCGCGTTTGACAAAAGCCTTATCGTCCTTCAGCTAAAAGTGAGTGCGCATTTCGAATTTGTGATTCTTCTCATCGCGATTTCTTCGTTCGCGGGTTTCGAGTCTGTGATCGCGTGTGCAGTGTATCCAGTGCATCGGACTGCGCGGCGTGGCACGTAGCTGCTGGATTCGGACCAAGGCTTCGTCGTTCCCATCGTCGCCCCGCAGCGCTAAGGTAAGCATCGCGGAAATGAGCTCGAGAGAGTATATTTCGCGCGGGCAATGTGCGTGAAACGACTCGCGGTGTTTCGCGAGGGGCGTGAAGGGGGTGGCGAGGGCGTAAAGAGGGTGACGCCGACGCGGCGACGGATAGTTTGCAAAAACTTGGTTAAGTCGCTTACAAAGAGGCAAAGTGACTGAGTCGGAGTAAAGCGAAACGCCGCGCTAACTTCGGAGCACTTCGTTATAAAGTTGGGAGTTGAATAATGTATTTTTATTATTTACCCGAAGCATGCCGCGGTGCCGGCCGTGGTGATATATCGGATAAAGTCGCTTGTAATTTCCGGCGAACGTTAACTTCCCGCCGAAAGAAATCACACCGGATCACGCCACAACTTTCTTCAACGTGGGGATATTTATACGCCTGTACGAAGAGCGGTTCGTGTCGCACGCAGGACGTGTTTATTTGCAAAGTTTCACCCTCTTGTGCACATTAAGATTTTTTAACAATCCATATAAGTAAAATTAAATTAATGTTCCGCATCACGTGGGAATGAAGATAAAATTCCAATCTTAAATATTCCCATATTTTTGACATTATTTTATTCAAACATTTAGCAAATTTATTTTTCACACATGGATAAATAAGCAAAAAATACATAATTAATTTGGATTGTAAATTATGCAAAAGAAATTTATAAAATTATGACTGATCATAGAATAAAAAAGATTCTTAAAGATTCCTAAAATTGTTTTTATGTTATAAACCGTGATTTTTCCGAATTTTTTTCCAAAGCTTTGAACTACACATAAATCTAGTAATCAATGTTGATTAGCAATAACTGCAATACAGTCAGTGTTGAGTTTATTATAAAAATCATTTTTGCATACTGAAATAGTTTTTAGTTTGTTGTTAATTTAATTATTTGTTATTTTCATGTAGATCAAAGAGGAGTTTATTGCATTTGACAAGATATTTCTTATTTATTTGCGATTCTATGGTTCAAATTCCAATAATATGCCGTCATATGTTTCATAAAAAATGGAATATAATATAAAAGGATTTATCAATTTTTCAATATTCGTTTACAATCAATAAACTTTTATGAATGTCATAAACTAGTAAAAATATTAATTGGAATAAATATTATGAAATGTTTTATTTGTCCATGTATTTATAATTTCTGTCCTCCAGAAAATACTATATAAATATTATATAAAGAAATATCAAAATTCTTAATTCTGCTCTTCACCACACACACACACAAATATGTATATATTCTTTAAATTTTGATTATAATTATTATACCTATATTTCTTATCAATGGCTTGAGTTAAAATTTTAAAAGAATATTATGCAAGTAGTTACACAAATGCACTCGATTCTAAGTTCTCCAGCTTAACATTAATTGAAGTAAGCTTGAAACAAAATACTACTCATTTTAGTTATTTGCACATCTTCACCAAAATCATTTAGAGTGTCGACTCTTCATGCGATTTTGGCAGCCTCCTTTGCAAATGTACGATGCGATAATTAATTCACGTATCTTAACGCGAGGAAGTACGTTTCGCCACGGTAACACGGAACACGCATGAAAGATCGAGCGCGAACGGCGTTCTACCATTAAGTAGTCGAAGCAGAGAAAACGCCGCCCGCTCGATAATGCATCATCGCGTTGCACTATTTCACGGGGAAATGCGCCGGCACGTTTGTCGACGAGCGATTAGCTCGCTCGCGCGACGTACACGCAAGGCGTAAATCTTGAGGCGCGACGCAGATTTAAGAGGCCCGCTCGCCGAGTGCGTTGCAGAAGAACGTGGCCGAGTTACGGTCTCTAATTTATGAAACGGCCGAGTTAAATTGGGGAGTAGCTTTTTTGCTAGCAAAGATTCTCAGAATTTAAGCCCGATTGTAATTGACGCCCGGTCCATGCATTTTTGTCCTTTGTTCTCGTAACAACTTTAGTTGGTAATTCGCTTACAATAGTCTACAATAGTCAACGCTCTCGCCCGGTTAGTTTGCTTTGCTTCGTTGCACTCGTTGCACAGTTGAAAGTAATGAAAGAGAGGGGGGAGAGGAGAGAGAGAGAGGGAATTTCTTGTGTAAACGGTCAGTGCAACTTTCGCGTACCTGCAAATGTTGTAAAAGCATTGTGTTCTGAAGTAACCAAGAAGATAACTGACGTATTTCTATTATTATTATATGTTTGCAAAATGTAATTTAATGTAATTTACCAATTTAATTGATTTAATGAGCAAACGAATGAGATGTATAATAGTATTGTATAATAGCATAATAGTATTGTAAATAAATATTACATTTATGGGGTTTTGAGTTCAAAGTTCAATCATAACGTTCAATCATGAGCCCCAATATCGCTAATTGATACGAGTCGGAATACGAATTGGAAGATAGAATGCGTGCAATAATGCGCGTGTAATCGGAAATGCGTGTGACTTCGGAAATATTCGGCCTTTGAGGGACACACGTCGCTTTTGTTCTCTCTCTCTCTCGAGCCGTTTGCGCTTCCGCGGCATACAGTCACGCACATATTCATACCTGTACACACGTACGCATCTATAGCAAACGAAATGGAATTTTAAAAATTGAATCGCCGAGACTTGCGCTTTACGCCACCGGCGCGTATTACAAAAGCGCGGGGGCAATTTCATTCATACGTAATAAGATGGGCGCATCTGGTGCCACGCACGTAACGGATGCCTTGTCATCGCTTTTCGGAAAGGCCGAGCTGTTTTCGATATTAAGGCACTTCGCGTTATTTATAAACCATCCCCATCGTCGTCTCTCCCCCTTTTTTGCCTCTTTTGTCATATCCCCCCCCCCCTCTCTCTCTCTCTCTCTCTCTCATCCTCTTCCGGTATCCAGGTTGAGAACAAGCGTATTAGATATTCCGTTATAAAGAGGCGGCGTAATACCGTACGGCCACCACACCAGGCGCGGGTGGGCAAAACAGCGCGGAGGACCAGGATGAGGGAAACTGCGGGGATCGGTTGTGAGGTCTGCAACGAAAATTAGCATTTTTTCCATGCGACCGACCTGCGTAGCTAATATCACGGATATAAAGAGGCAAGCGAGTAGCTGGCTGGAGGGGATCTGCAGCGAAAAGGGAAGGGGATGGCCTGAAAAAAAGCAGGCGTATTTACTGCGGAAAGATTAACGTGTAACGAGCTACCGTGAACAAGCTGACGTTAAAGCTTTTTACATAAACGCACGCTCAGTTTTTGATCGCGCTCACGCTTCGCCAGTGTCCATAGACACGGCTCTGTGATCGTTTCATTGTGCCTCCTACGATAGTACACGCGATTGTAGAAAGAGGGAAAAAAAGAGCGTTATATCGATTTTCGCCGGAAACAACGTTAGTCGAACACTCGCGTGTTTGCATCTCTCAATTTTGAAATTGCAAACGGGTCTTTGTACAAAAGCAAGGAAATATAATTAGTTTGCACATTACTTGGAGCAAAAACGAAATCCTTATGAAAGAACTGTTGTCAACCCGAATGAATATGATCGTTTCTGCGAGTAAGACTTATTTTGCCTTTTGCCAGATACTTTTTATAAGTAGCTGTGACAATTTTGATGATATTAAATTGTAATTTCTATTTTCTCTGCACTTCAGACACACATTTTTTATACATCAAGTTTTGAAATCATATTTTATTTCAGTTGTTGCGAGCTTTGGAATCTAATGCGTTATTTGCGTAGTCACATCGACAAACTTTCCGTGTATTTTTCAATTTCCGTACTTTAAGATAGCTCGTCGCCTCGAATACATGTGGATCTGTAGGTTACACTTGTTTTCTCTTATCCCTAGAAATCTCCGAGCTTTCCGGGACCTCGACGTTTCGCGCTACATTCGAAACTATCGCTCAAGTATAATGTGGGGATGCGTGTTTAAAGCGTACGCGCATGCATGCAATTCTTTTATGTCAATTTTTTATATAAATTTCCACAATTTATAAATACTGAACTTAGATTTCCAATTAAAATTCCGAATGTTTATTATTCGAAATTTAAAAAACAATTTTTTTTCTCGGAACACAACATATGTTTTCTGTAACTGTTAATATATTTTGAAGAAGAGTAATTACAACTTTCAAGTTTTTACTATTTTT